AAAAGTTAAAAAGATTTCAAATGAACCAAACTCTGCTAAAATGTCAGTAGACCAGAGTGATATATTAAAAGAAAAAGGCAAATCAACTGATGAGACAAAAAAATCCACCCTAAATAAAGGAACCCAAGATGAAAATGATGCACTTATAACAGTTTCTAGTCAGCCAAAAACTTAGTGTTGATTCTAAACTTTTTGGACACTGCAAAAACTTTACAACATTTTGTAGTAATGCCAGAAACATTGAGAATATTGATACTTTATTTTTAATATGTTTGCTGAAAGTATGAGAGAAATCAATCATAAAACTGTCAACTTTACTTAGAAGTTTGTAGTCAGTGTAAGTTCATTGTGAATCTTTGTAATCAGAAAATGTGATATTTTGAATGCAGATGTAATAGTAAACATATTAGATTTTTCTTAAATTGATAGATCCCTGTTTATAATAACTTCTAGTGATTCATCATTTGTCACTGATACTTCATTAGCAACTTAAATGGGAAGTTGAATATGCTTCCCTTGTATCAAATAGATAAAACTGTATAGAAAGATGGCATCACTTACACACTTTTCTGTTTGGATCATAGTCTGCTCTTGCAATAGTGTCATTACACAAAATGAAATTAAAAGAAAGCGGATTCTCCTATGTTTGAATAAGTGTTATTTTTAGTCACAGAAATGCACATGTGTATAAAAGCACAAACATGTCAACACACACACACACACACACACACACACACCACACACACACACACACACACACACACACACACACACAACACACACACACACACACACACACACCAACACACCACACACACACACACACCACGACCACACCACACGACCACACACACACCACGACACACACACACACCACGACCACACACACACACCACGCACACACTCATAAACCTACATACACATGCATACACACACCACACACACACTTCCACACATGCATACACCCACACCCACACACACACTTCCACACACATGCATACACACCCACACCCACACACCCCTACATGCATACACCCCCACACGCATACACCCCACCCCACACACACCCCCACCCCACACACCCCTACACGTATACACCCCCATTCCCACACGTGCACGCACACTCACACACACACACACACACACACACACACACACACACACACACACACACACACACACACACACACACACACACACACACACACACACACACACACACACACACACACACACACACACACACACACACACACACACACACACACACACAAAAACACAACACACCATGCAACACATGCCACACACCACACACATGCACACACCCACACACACACACACCCACACACATACACACACACACACACACACACACACACACACACACACACACACACACACACACACACACACACCACACACACACACACACACACACACATGCATACAACACACACACACACACACAACACATACACACCCACACACATATGCAAAACACATACACACCAACACACTTGCACACACCCACACACATGCACACACCCACACATATGCACACACCCACACACATGCACACACAACCACACATACACACATGCATACACATACATGCATACACATACATGCATACACACACACATGTATTACACACTCACATGCATACACACACACATACACACTCACATGTATAAACACACCCCACACACCTACATGCATACACACACACACATGCATATACACACACACACTCACATGTATACACGCACACACTCTCACATGCATACACACATACACTCTCACATGCATACACACACACTCTCACATGCATACACACACACACTCTCACATGCATACACACACACACTCTCACATGCATACACACACACTCTCACATGCATACACACACTCTCACATGCATACACACACACTCTCATCATACTCACACACACTCTCACATGCATACACACACACTCTCACATGCATACACACACACACTCTCACATGCATACACACACTCATATGCACACACACACACACACACAACACACTCAACACACACACCACACACACACACACACACACACACACACACACACACACACACACACACACACACACAACACACCACACACACACACACAACAAACAAGAGCTGGAAAGTGTTGATAGTACTTTTAGACTTTCAGATTGACCTCCCCATATAGATTTAAGCATAGAAGTTATTGCTGCATTCACAAGGACACAGGCTCCATGACCTTGTGTCTAGTGTAGGATTGCAATGCTAAACAAGTACTGGCAGTGCTATCTTGCCAGATTTTTTTTTTTTTTTTTTTTTTTTTTTTTTTTTTTTTTTTATTTATCAGTACTTTTTCTTGGTTAGATACTGACAGAAGCACCATCATTAGTTTTAGTGTAGTTTTCCAAACTGTTTGCAGTAATTGGCATGATTTGGTTATAAAAAAAAAGCAGAAGACAGTTTTAGTGTACAGAAGGCTGTACCTTGTCTTTTGTAGTGTCTATCAAGATCATAAATGGCAGGGAGGTGGACAGAGTGAAAGCGGGATGGAAATAAGCATTAAAGATAATTATAGACAAGTGCAAGTGTAATGCTATCACATTTCTTACAAAATATTGTACGGTGTGTCTTACAGAAGAGAGGAATCTCAAAGAAATTAGTTAAGTGTTTCAAACTAGCTGGTTTTGCATTCACAATTGTCTCTGCAAAAGAGTTGGAGTATAAAAGGCTAGTCATTTCATTAGTGATTGGTTATAGAATCAAAACCCAAATCATTTTTAGTAGATAAGGAGAGTCATATGTCCCCTTCTCTTCAAGACTGACAGTGTCTTCAGCAGAATGTACTTCGTTGATTGTGGTTGGTACCTTGTTGATTGTGGATTGTAAACTCAGGTCTTCTGTTGATGCTTACAAGCGAGGATCAAATCATGTTTATTTTTTATCCTGTTGAAGGATACATTACAAAGATTATTGCTGGACTTTTTAGTTCTAACTCTCATTGGTTAGTAAACTGTTGCTTATGCTTTATTTATTATTGTTTTTATTATTTTTGTTTGTTTTTTGTTGTTTTAGAATAAAGCTAAAGTACATAGCTTTGTACATAGTATATATGATTATACTTCTACATGAATGTGACTTGTTTTCTGTGTATGAGTTATCCCGCTTTTTGAAAGTTTATTTTGTTATTTTCATTTGTAGGTACTGCTTTAATACATGTTGCTGTAAACAGCTTTGGTTTGAGGGATTGTAAATTTCATTTTTGCAAACTTTTTTTTTTATATAATTTTTCCTTGCTTATATTCTATTTCTTCTCTTTTGCATTCCTTTTGTCTCCTTTCAAGCCTCCCTCTCATTGTATTTACTTTTAAATTTAAATTTGCATGTAATTTGCAACCGTGATAGTAATTGTTCACATGTGTTCAGTGAGGCTATTTTTTCTTTTTCTTTCTTTTTTATGATAGTAATGATAATGAGGATAAAACTGAAGGTGATGCACATTCAAATGTAGTTATTGGCTTTTGTTCATGTTTGTTATTGTCACTGATTTGTTGTCCTGCGCATATAACTCTTTTGATAGCTAAAGTTTACCACTTCGAGTGAGCTGGTTTATTGTAGTACCTGGGTAACCTATTTATGCATTTGTATATTCATGGTAAGGACATATTGAAAAATATGACTTGTAAAATGCAATACGTAATACAGATTTTAATTTGTTATTTTTTGGTTGTGAAAATTGATTTATAGCTTCTTTGTATATCTGTGGATATATATATATATATATATATATATGTATGTGAAGTTTTCTTTTTTTTTCCAGTTTATAACAGTGGTTGGAGAGCTTTTTTATATAAGAAATATTGCTAAATCTTCCAAACACAACTTTTTCTCCAAATGATATGAACTGTATAAGATGAAGTTCATGTATGTGAAAAATATTTGAAGTTTATATTGTGTGGTGGCATATATAATTTTTTATTATGATTTACTTGAATGCTCTTGATAATGTTAAAAGTCCTTTTTGGCTTCAGTGTACATAGACTGTTCAAAGCACATCCCCTATATGAAGTACTGCCACCCATCTTATATTGTGATAGCTAAAGACTGTTAAATGAAAGTGTTTTATAACAAGAGCTATAGTCTGTGGTAGGAATGTATTCTTTTCAAAGAATAAGTAAAAGTTGTCTTGTAACTTTTTTGGTAGTCTTGATTTTGAGAAACACCATTAATGAGTCATATCAGTGATATGGAGTAGAGTAGATTTATTGCTCAAAAACATCTAAAGAAATTATAAACTAAAAGAGCGCTGAATATCACTGAGAATTTTTAGGTAGCACTTTTTTGAAATATGTGTAACACATTTATAGGATTAAGGATGTCACTATTGTACTGTGCTTACTGCTATACCAAACCAAGTCAACTTGTATTTTATTATATTCTGCCAAGTATCAGCATGTACTAAACCTTCCCTTGCTTTAGAATGTTGGAAGCAAAACATGTATCAATTCTTGAGTTTCAGTGATCTTAATAAATGTTGTTGAAGATAGTTATTGTTTTGGCAACCATAACAAAAGTAGGGCACTGAATAGGTTTAGACTTAACCTACTAGAAATTCGCTGTTGAATGAAGTTGAAAGATCAATTACAAAAAAGGAAAATATGAGTAATGTTATATTGAAGAACCAGTTTTATCCAAAGCTGACAGATGGCATTATTATGTTAAGGCAGTATAATTTTCTTGTGGCAGAAGAATCAAATTTTAAAATAAAAGTTGAACTAATATCCAAGAGAGGCAGACATATCTTACTAAGTAAATTGGTTGGAATGGAGCTTAACATCAGAAATTGAAGTTATATTGTTTTAATTATTATTTACAAGTGAAAAGATTTTTTTCTTCATCTTTTTTTTTTTAGATACTATTATATATTGATATTGATTTTTTCTTTAAGCCTTATGAATTTTGACTTACTTGAGAAAAGGTGAAATTTTCTTATTCCTTAGGCATATCCAGTTCCATTCAATTTCTTTATTCATAATGGACAGTATTTTGTGGCAAATGCTAACATTAAAGGTTTTAAAAGCACTAGGGTCTTAGAGAGTGTTACAAGTGTAAATATTAGTAAGACAGGCATCCCTTACAGATGAGGCTGGAGAGCGACGATCATGGTCTTGGGAGGCGAGTGGCCACCGGACCAACCATTGCCCACAGCTCCACAAACAAGGTGCATCAGTGTCCCTACTGTGCATATTCCACCACAAAGAAATTCAATCTAGATAATCACATGCGCATTCACACAGGGGAGAAACCCTTTTCTTGTCCCCATTGCCCTTACCGTGCCAGTACTAAAGAGACACTGAAGAGACATGTCCTAGTTCATACGGGGGAAAAACCATACTCATGTATTCATTGTCCATACCGCTGCACTCAGTGGGGTTCTTTAAAAAGTCATGTTCTGACAAAGCACACATTCAATAAGGATCCTTGTTCTCAAATAATAGCAAGTAGATTTTGCTCTTAAGAAAGGAAATATATTTATTTTTTGAGTCAGGAGAGGTAGAGGAATGAAATATTTGGTGTATTGTTTGTCTTTTGAAGTATGTATCAAGTCTGGATTTCTGGTTTTGATAATTAGAGAATAAACATTATATGTTCTTGTCAGGTGTTTTCTTTGTTAAATGAATATATTTATGTTTACTTTATTGATTTAAATAGATGTAATTTAATTCCTTTTTATCCACCATCAAGAAAGGAATTAACTTTTGAACATAATAAGACAAAGTCCATCTAATTTGTTAGTAAGGGACATACCTCTTAACCTAATGAATGCAATACTAAAAACTGGCACCTGGCCAGTTGTTGATGAGTATCAGCAGTTTCCTTGATTACACCAAGTTTGTTCAGTATTTCAAACTCAATATTGGGCACCTAATGACTTTTAAGTGGAGTTTATGACCAAGTGCTTAAAAAAAATTGAAAGTTTTCTCGCACTTCAGATGCCATTATCTAATTGTAACACCACGGTAATGGAGAAAAATTAGCTCCGTCTTATGGCATATGATATGACGTTAAGTGGTGCCATGCACAACATTTTCCACCGCAGCCATAACAAGATATGCCATCCACATTTAAAGGATTAATAATAAATTTGTTCTAAATGCAATATTTCATTATCATGGCATGGGACTTCTATATGCTCAAGTTTTTTATTGCAATTTTTTTCCAAACACAAGTTGAGTTAACTTTTTGAAAGTATATCATGTTAATTCCACCTTAGTACTTAACCCACTAGTGACGGTACATTTTCAAGCCAAAAATAATGTTTTCTGGGCAGCTTTAAAAGCAGTGCATGGTTGAGTCTGGGAACCTGCCCACGCCCCACCCATGACAAAATCAGAGTGCTAGCTCTGTTCTAGCGTTGCAGCAACGCGGCAGGCCCGTGATGTTTTATTTTTCCAGGTGTCTCATCATATGTGTGACACCTGTTGTATGTGGGTTAACGAAACACCCACAATTATATGAGAAACACTTACTGTGACATTTCATTTTTTCTAAGTCAAGGCTTTATGCTTCCCTCATTATTGTGGATGTTTCATTTTATCTTTGAAACACTTCTCTGTTTAGGTAAAGGTTTCTTATTTATTGCAAATTGTTCATCATAGGTAAAAGATGAATGAGATAATAGATTCCAGAGAAAAGTGCAAATAAGTCTTTTTAGGATCATTCATGATACTATCTTATTGAACACTAAAGAAGAAAAAAGGGAAAGAAAGAGTTTAAGACTCTCTCTCTCCTCTCTCTCTCTCTCTCTTCTCTCTCTCTCTCTCTCTCTCTCCTCTCTCTCTCTCTCTCTCCTCTCTCTCTCTCTCTTCTCTCTCTCTCTCTCTTGATGGATATAATTCTAAATGTGTGCTGGAGAATGATTATCAATGCTGACAGTACCTATGAGCATGGTTGGGTGACATAACTAAACCACCCAATTTCTTTAAACTCCAGGCTACTACTTGCTCAAGTTGCCAACATGTTATTCCTGCCAGCTCACCCAAATGTAACAGGATAGTAATCGTGATGTAGTTAGGCAACTTTTGTGTGTCTGTACGTGTGTATGTGTGTGAATTTATAAGTAATGGCTCAAGTAACATTTTGATTTGTAACTTATTCAGTCCTGTGTTCTTACTCCTGTAGTTTATTTTTAACGTCATGGACCACATATACTTCATTTGGGCACACCAAATAAAGCTCTCATTTTTAGGTTTGTATCAGCCTGACTAATGGGTCAGAGCTGTTTCTTATGCAATTACTCCTGTGCAGTTTTGCAATCATATAACAAATTCATGTTGGACATTAACTTTTGTAAATCATTATTTTATCATTGTAATAATAACATTCATCATAATGGTTATAAGATATTGCAAAAATTAGGAAAGAAATTTCAAGCTCCACACAACCTATAACTGCTATTTGATAGGGACTCTTCCTGTCAGCTTCCAGTTGTTGTCCTCAGACAGAGGATGTGAGAGTCTGTCCAATCTCGGGAAAGAAGAAAAAAAAAATGCAACTCATTCTGGTTTGAATAGCATTAGAGAACAATAATAAAGTAGTATTGAATACAGAAAATTATGATGAATAAAATTTAAGACACTCTTTAAGGATTTTAAAATACTAACCATTTGTAAATTTACACACTAATCAGCAAACCGGATAGAAAAAAAAAAAATATTAACTCCAGAATCTGAAGAAAATAGTCATTTTTTTCTTTCCAGAGATTGGATGCACTATAGATGAATTTCTGCACTGACACAGAGGGTACTAAATATACTCTTTTCCATTGACAAACAGAGGAATCTTGTATATTGAGTATGCTGCATTGAGCAGTATAGGGTCAAGTCTTCTTTTCTTTTGGTTTTCTTTTTTTTTTTTTATTCTTTTCTCAGATCTTCTTTTCTCATGGAAATGGAATATTTATTAGCCATGATATGTTGTAGTGCAGCTTTGAAAAGAAAAGTCTTTAAAGAATATAAGAGTAGATTTTTTCTACATTGCCATGGTTTTCATGAGAAAGTTCAAGACATATATCTGATGAAAATGTTCAGGGGAATAAAAAGCTTTAAATATAGACCAGAATTTTATATGATTAGTATTCAAAACAAGAATTTTGGAGAATATTTTAGAAATGTAAATGTCAAAATTCATACATTTGTATACATAACCTTGGCCAGGGGCTGTTGGATTTTTACATTGAAAGGTTATTAAAAGAATGCTTATTGAGTGCAGACCTGTCTTTATCCAATGTGACCATAATAAGTGAAATGGGCATCCCCTGCAGGTGGGCCTGGAGAGTGAGAGTCACGGCACACCCGTGAGCAGGGCCCCCAGAAATGGCGTCAGCCTGAGCAGGAGATATCACTGTTCATACTGCGCCTACAGTTCATCCGTTACCACCAACTACAGGAATCATATGCGTACTCACACAGGGGAAAAGCCTTACTCATGTCCTCATTGTCCATACAGTGCAACCACAAGAACAACCTTGAAAAGGCATGTACGAACTCATACTGGAGAGAGACCATATGCTTGTGCATATTGTTCATACCGCTCAACCAGAAAGGAACACTCAAAAGCCACATACTTGCACACATGCAAAACTGCAGTATGACTAAATGAGGAGTCTGTTAGCAGAACATGCCTAGGTATTCTGAAAAATTAAGGTTCAGAATGACTAGTACAAAATATGAAGGTTATTAAAGTTAATTTTCAACACTATTTTTTGTGATGAACACAAAATATAAACGCAAAGATAGTTACACAGTCCTACATTTATTTGTAAAGTGTATAGAAAATTTAATAAAGTAAGTATGTATGCCACTTAATGTTTCATTTCCTGCAGAAGAAGCATATTTTTTGGAAAAATTTATATTAAAGAATTATACATGAATTACCTTTCTGTGAATCTGGATACTTTAGGGTTGACGGGAAGTACAATTATAATGAACAAAGAAAAGATTGATACACATATTACAAAGAGGGTTCACCAGCATATGTCACAAGATAGCATGCTCCAGTTAAGGGAAATTAAGATTTTGTTCTGCAGTAACAGTATAGATTAAATATAGGTCATTACTACATATTGTATATATTAATGGCTTGACGCATTTACAAAAATCAGTGTTAGCATTTGCCAATTCCACATTTGTATAGTATCTATGAGCACCATATTTTGTGTGAGTGTATAATTGTGTAATGCTGAGCAATAGTAAGTTGGGCATCCTCGGCAGATGAGTCTTCACACTGGTGACTGAGGACTGGCGGAAGACGAGGTGCAGGCGCGGGTTGCGTCTCCATTGCCAGCCATAGGATGCACCAATGTCCCTACTGTGGCTACTCCACAAGGAAGGCTGCTCACTTTAGCTTTCATGACCCATAGACAGAGCATTCTTTTCTTGTCCCTCCATGCTCACACAATAATTCAAATTAAAGATGCTGCTGTTCTTGATGCTGATGCTAGAGTAATGTCAAGGAATTTTGTCAAGTCATTATTCTGCTCTGATTTGCCATCATGGCTATGAAGGGTATGTCCAAGTAGCCTATAGTGGACAGCAAAATTAAGCGAGAAGTGAAGCTGCATAGCATTGTTAGCAGACAGGAAATAGCAGTTATTTACTTTACTTTGTTTTCACTTTCTGTCTCTATCTTTATTTTTATAGCTTACATCTTTCTTTCTCTCCTAACCTTTTTTCACTTTCTCTCTCTCTCTCTCTCTTTCTCTTTCTCTCTCCTCTCTCTCTCTCTTCTCTTCTCTCTCTCCTCTCTCTCTCTCTCTCTCTCTCTCTCTCTCTCTCCTCTCCTCCTTCCTCTCCTCTCCCTCTCCTCTCCCTCTCCCTCTCCCTCTCTCTCCTCCTCTCTCCTCTCTCTCCTCCTCCTCCACACACACACTCTCTCTCTCTCTCTCTCTCTTCTCCTCTCTCTTCTCTTCTCTCCTCTCTCTCTCTCTCTCTCTCTCTCTCTCTCTCTCTCTCTCCTCTCTCTCCTCTCTCCTCTCCTCTCCCCTCCCTCTCCCCTCCCCTCCCTCCCTCCCCCTCCTCTCTCCCTCTCTCCCTCCTCCTCACTTCTCTTCTCCCTCCTCCCCTCCACTCTCCTCCACCCCCACCACCACTCTCTCCTCCACCCCCACCCCACCTGTTTACTTTCCCTATCCCTTTCCCTCTCCCTCTCTCTTTCTTACTTTCTTTCTCTCCCCTCCTGTTCCTCGTTTCAACCCTCATCCTGTCCTTCCTCTCCCTTCTTACACCCTTGTTATTATTATTTACCTTCTTCCCCTTTGTCTTTATATCTCCCTTTTGTCAATTTGCCAATTCCTTCTCCTTATTTTTTCCAGTTTCTATCATTTGTGTTTCCTTTGTTATTTTTTCCATCTGTCAACTTCTCTCTTCCCCTCCTCTGGTGCATGGTATTGAAACCATAACAGACTGTGATCACATGTGTGCATGATTTATTGAACTCTGGATTTCATTGCTTGAAAGATAATAATTGGTGCATCATATCTTGTTTCTGTTTTAAACCTTTTTGCTGATATATTTATGATATATATCATTCAATGTATTAAGGAATATTACTTTATTATTCAAAATTAGGCTGAATTGAAAATATCATATATAAATTATATAGTGCCAAACCAAAGAGTAAAACTTTATAGAACCCAGTAAATTCAGTTGCCTACAAACTTAACAGCAGATGTAAATTATTGAAAATTACATTTCATCAGCAGCAGTTATTAGTCAGCTTTTTTGTTTTTATTGTTGAATTTACAAAGGGTGTTGTCTGTTTTAATTTGAAAGAGGAGTGACATTTTAAGAGTTCTTAAAGAATTGAAGAGATGTAATAAAGGCAGCCCTTAGTGCTTAAACATAAGAAACTAAAAGTAATAGTTTGTTGGCATATGGGTTTATTCATTTGGTGTTGATGGACATAGGGTGACCATGATTCACTGTCAAATTAAAGAAAATTTATTGGTCCAGCATTCAGGACTTTAAATACTTTATTAGATTAGAAGTTATATGTTAAACATGAAACTTTTGCATAGATTACGTATGGGAAGCATGTTTTCAGTTTATATTCCATAGTGAAAATGTATATTAAGTATAGATTGTGTAATGTGTTTGTTAATGTGTGCATGTGTGTGTGTGTTTGCTTTTGTAATTTACACATCTGTTATAAAGATTTCTCTCTGTGAGTAAGATGGGTGTCCCCTACAGGTAGGGCTGGACACATCCCGTAGGATGAGTGGCGGAGGAGGTGCACCTGGAGCTGAGAATGACCACAGTACTGTCACTAAGAAGCATATGTGCCTCCACTGTCCATACAGTACAAATGTAGCCACAAACTTAAGAAACCACATGCGCACACACACAGGCGAAAAGCCATTTTCGTGCCCATACTGTCCTTACTCAGCCATAACAAAGGACAACCTGAAGAGACATATTCGTGGTCATACAAGAGAGAGTTCCTTTGAGTGTGCCATGTGTCCATTCAAGTGTATAGACAAGAGTGCCATCATGAACCACATGGTAACTCATCATCCACAATGGTGCTAGATGTATATGGAGCCACAGATATATATGGAGCCACAGAGAAGCCAACACAGTCAACATAAAGAGAGCAAGGAAAAAAATAACTTCTGTAAGAATTCAAGATAAGAAGTCTGTACTTTCCATATATATTGCAAATTATGGAACAACTTTTCAGTTAACTTGTTGAGCGTGTAAGCACTTTATACAGTATCATTCATTTTGATTATTCTTTGGGAAGCCAGCTGAGATATGCTGAATGCTGCTGGCCATTTTGGTTGATTCTTTGATAATTTATAAGGTAATGTCTTTTTAAGCAATTCAACTTATCAAAAGCATGAAGGTTTTTAAACTTGTATAGATTATCAAGTTAAAGCAGTAGGTTTGAATTCTGCATTACACAAAGTGTGAAAAATATAAGTTTTTCAAATTTATATAGATGATTTTTATATATATATATATATATATATTATAATATATATATATATAATTATATATATATATGTATATATATATTTATCAATATTTATTTATCTGCTGCTTGTATCATGAAGCACATTACAATAAACATTTTCAAAGTGTGGATCTACATATGAATTGGAAAACAAGATCTTTATTCATAATAATGTTGTTATTATTATTATTGTTAACATTCTTATTATCATCATCATTATTATTATTAGCTGTATTGTTCATAAGTATTATTATCATCATCATCATCATCATCATCATATTATTATTATTACTTTTACTATTATCAGTATTATTATTATTACTTTTACTATTATCATTATTTATATTATTATTAGTAGTAGTGTCATTATTATTTTGATTGTTATTGTTATTATTATTATTATTATTTTTATTATCATCATCCTTTTTATTAATTACTATTGATATATATTTTTTTGAATTGTTATTATTATTGCTGTTTTTTATACTTCTTTTTCTTAATTAGTATTGTTATTATTGTTGTTGATATTATTTTCTGTCTTTTATTAACTTCATCATCATTATCTCTTATCATTGTCATTATCATTATCATTATCTTTTTTTTTTTTTTACTATTTGTTATTGTCTTTTCTTCTCTTTTTCTTTTCCTTTCTGTTATTATTGGCCAGTGATTGGTCTTGCAGACTTCACACTCCATGTAAACAATGCAAGCATGCACAACATACAGAAAGTTTAGAAAACATACACTGTCCTTTCTCTATCTTTGACCCCTCTATATCTTTCTGTCTCCTCTGCATATCGGTCTGTCCACTCTGTCTCTTTCTGTTTTGTCTTTGTCTCACTCTGTCCTCTCTCTTGTTTCACTCCATCTTTTGTCTGTCTGTTTCACTGCCTACCTGTCTTTTTTTTTTCACTCTTTCTCACTAATCTTCGGTAATTCTAGATGAAGTGAAGGGATACAACAACACAACCAACTGCAGGGATACTTGGTCTAGTATTAGCATTTAGTTTAGATGAAAAATCCCACTTCATAAAATGTCTGCATTTATTTCTCTTGAAGGATACAATATTAGTAAGAGAATCGCACTTACATATGTTATGTAAATTTATCAGAATAGAATTCTTTTGTTTACAGCATTTGTATCCACTTTCTGTATTAACACCCTGCTGGTAGGCATGGCTATAGCAGTCATTGAAAGCATATCCTTCATGACAAGCGTGTGTTTGTGTGTGTTGTATATGTACGTATTTGTGTGTGTACGTGAACGTTTACGTACCATGACTCGCTCAAGTGAGCAAGCAGGAAGGGCCCCTTGTCCACAGTGAACGCCTTGCCAATAAGGCTAGACGGTTGCCAGTAGTCACCGGAATGTGTGCCACACAGAAACTTCTGGTACCATCAGTGTAAGGTTAAGGAAACTGTGCCACTTGAAAATATTTATTGGTGTGATTGCGGAGAGGATGATGTCACAGGTCTGAGTCTTATGTATAACAGGAACTTCTGCTTGACAAGTGGTTTTAAGTGGAGCTTTTCTTGTGAATGTTCAATTGATATATTATTTTTAATAATTATGCAGAGTAAGTTCTTGCTGTTACTTATTTTTCAAATTACCAGCTTTGGAAAACAAAAAATGTTATTCCTTTTTCAGTAAAAGTGATGTATTATTTTTTTTTTATGTTTGTATCATGAATTTCCGTTAATTAGATGCAATATTTTTCATTGCAAATAAAGTGAAAAATTAATTTCTTGCTGTTTATTTTTTGTACATTTCTCTCCTAATTTAAAGTGTACTAGGTGCATTGAGCTCAGTGTACAACTGTATCAAGGACTGCAGATTTAAGTTATGTAAATGAAAAGGAAAAGATTAGTAGGCAAGTCATTATAATTCATTTAATTTTAACATTCCTCTAAATTTTGTCATTACTGATGCCTTGATACCATTTTAGTTTTGAAAAAAAAAAAAAAAAAAAAAAAAAAACATGCATGTTAAAAAGTGTTAACCTAATAATGTTTCATGGCTTACCAACTTGCAGGGTAAAACTGATGCTTATTTTACCTTTAGTTAGAGATTTGAGAATTTTATGGAAAATTCTCCTTAACCCATTACCGCTGTATATTTTGAAGCCAAAAATAAAAGATTCTGGGCAGTTACAAAATCAGTGTGCAGGGCTGGCCTAGACTCTGCCGGCGCACTGGCTTTGGCCTGCTGCTGCATCGGAGCGTGAGCCCCGATACAGCATCACACTGGCGGGACGCCTGGCATTTTTTTCTTCTTCTTCTTCTTCTTCTTCTTCTTCTTTTCTTCTTCTTCTTCTTCTCTTCTTCTTCTTCTTCTTCTTCTTCTTCTTTTCTTCTTCTCTTCTTCTTCTTCTTCTTCTTCTTCTTTTCTTCTTCTTCTTCTTCTTCTTCTTCTTCTTCTTCTTCTTCTTCTTTCTTCTTCTTCTCTACTTCTTCTTCTTCTGGGTTAAATCTATCTTTGATGTCCCAGTATATCAAACTGATATCTGTAATAGAAAAAGAAAATAAATATGATCTTGAAAAATACATGGTACCATTGTATCTTAATAGGATCACTTAATACTCATGATTTACTAATTTGATAATTCCCATCTGAAAGCCAATGAAATTATCTATTGATCCATTTAGAAAAAAGCTTTATCATATTTGAACAACCATGAAAAAGATCATCAAAAATAGTAACAAAATATTTTTTTTTTTATACTGTCATTAAAAAGTAATCATAAATCTCCATAAACTTTTGGATTTTTTTTTTCTTTCTTCTTTTTCCCCCAATTGAAAAGCACCCTATATAAGGTCAAAGAAACAAGACCAAAATGAAAAAAAATGGACAATAAATAACCAAGCAGATAAACAAAATATTGTGATATCTTTAGTTTTGAGATACGGCCCTTCGAAGTTGACAGTGAGAGCAGGAGGGTTGTGGTCAGGGTCCAGCCGGCTAGAACTCTCCAGCTGCGTATGCTAGCTCTTGTTGCAGTCAATGGTTCCTCATTTTCTTTTTTGGAGTCACATTCATTCTTAAATTGTGTTGTTGAAGGACTTTATTTGAAATAACAGTCCGTGGAACACCAAGACTGGTGTCGAGACAACTAGCCTCATAGCCTGAGTTGTAGTTGGCAACAGCTTGGGCGACTGAGAATTCTAAAATGGGTTTGTTGCCATTCTTATGTGTTAGCAAATATTGACTGTAGTTTCGAGCTGATGCTGGGTGAAATCATACTTCATGGTGTTGTAAAGCAGTTGCCACAAATGATGTTCCCTGCTAATTCTTTGAGTTTGTATTTTCATGATAACACTGTTAGTGTACACTGCTTCCGTTTCCTTTCATAGTGTGAATTTCTTAGGATTTTCAGCAGAAGTAGGCATAGAAGCACATGCTGCGCGGTGGCATGGGGGAAGTGGATGCGTGGGAAGCGATGGATGTGGAGGTCGCTCGCGTGCCTGACACCTCTTTCTCTCTCTTTACCTGACTCCTCATTTTCTTTTTCTACACTTTTTTTTTCTTTCTCTCTCTCTCTCTATAAAGCCTTATATGCATGTTTACACATTTTATCATTTGTATTGTAGATCTTTTCCGTTTTGGCATGGTTTATTGGGAGACTTTAGTGATTACAAAAAGCAAGTGTGTCACATATAGATCCCCAAGCAAGCAGAGCTAATGAAGCAATATTGAGCCGCTGGGACTGCCTGGAACTATGTTAATATTGGACAAAGTTCCTGAAAAGATCATATCATCAGCCAAACTGAAATAATTTCATGTATATTCTATCAATACTGTGTGTATTGATGTGAAATAAAACATATATGGAATAAGGCTATAAGCGAAGAGGCACGACTGGGGGGAAATATGAACGTAAAACCTTTTAAAATTGAGATATATAAATATTTTTAGGAAAATGTTACCATATCATCAAGCAGTTTTTTTTCTCTCTAATTTTTTTCAGTTTTTTAAACTTTTTTCATTATTTTTCAGTACTACAGACACTTAAATGGTTTATATAGGTGGTATCTGGGAAGTAAATGTTTATGCATCAGTACCTTTTATGAATGGTGCATTTTGCCATGATTATGGCTTGCAATTATGCACAATCCAATACATCACGATAGAAGACCTGTCAGAAGCTTCTGGATTTTACCCAACAAATTTTTCTTTATGAATAAGACATATCACCTTCCATTCCTTGTAGGCTTTCTTCTGCTGAACCAATCGTACAGTTGTATTTTCCCACCAAATATCTAATTGTGAAAGAAACATAGTGAGTGTAAAGTATTTGGTGCCTATGGCATATATCATCCAGCCAAACCCTAAATCTTTTCCTCTTCACATAATGCCTTCTATGCACACAACTATTACATATCACAAAGCTACCTCTTGAAATATAAATTTGCCCTTGTAAAACCTGAAAAATCATACCTTTCTTTGTAATTGGGGGAAAGACAGTCTGGAGAATGCTGTTTATAGGGGTTAAAAGCTAAATGCCACATTTACAGTGAATACCTGTAGGTGGTATCCTCTTAGTGTCAATATTTTTTATGAGCAGTGTAAAGATCCTTCTAATGACAGTAGAGGTACACATGAAGAGTTCATAAGCCTGTATGATATGACAATGAAATAAGCATCCTCTACAGGTGGTGCAGGGCAGAGGACGTGAAGAGACAGATACGAAGAGCACAGGGGTCAAGCCAGGTGTGGTCATCCATAGGAAGATGTACAATGCCCTGCCTGCCCATATGATACAATTTATCCAACAATTTGAGGAACCACATGCGCACACATACTGGAGAGAAGCCCTATGCCTGTGCCATTGTTCCTATCGTGCAATTCAGAAAGTGGCTCTGAAAAGTCACATGTTAACGCACCACCCAGATGTGAATACAATGTAATGACATTTTTATTTTTATGGTTACCATTTACATGTCATGGCATAATAGACAAAAATGCTTTTATCCATACCTTTGTCTCACAAACAATTTCTTGATTTTTTTATCCATTCTTTTCATTCTTATAACGAATAATTGCAAATTTCTTTATTGACTTGGGGCTTATATGAATGTTAGTGTTTAATAAGGTGCTTTTTTAACTAAAATGGGTTTGTTTAATGCATCTGGTAAAATTGAAGTTAAGATGTGATTATGCAATTTTATTTATTTCAATATTAAATAACTTTCATGAAAGTACTTCAACTAATGTTTATTACATAAAGAGCCATTTGATATATTATTGTTAGTCTGTTTCCAATCATCCATGTGCTCACACACACACACACCACACACACACACACACACACACACACACACACAACACACACACACACACACACACACACACACACACACACACACACACAACTTGCACACACTAAGCACACTAATACACATGTACTCATGCCTTGAAACACACACACACTGCACACACTAAACCACTAATACACATGTACTCATGCCTTGAAACACACACACACTCAAACTCTCACACACACACACACACACACACCACACACACACACACAACACACACACACACACACACACTCTCTCTCTCTCTCTCTCTCTCTCTCTCTCTCTCTCTCTCTCCTCTCTCTCTCTCTCTCTCTCTCTCGTCTCTCTCTCTCTCTCTCTCTTCTCTCTCTCTCTCTCTCTCATAAACACTCACTCACTCACTCACTCATTCACACACACACACACACACACACACCACACACCACACACACACACACACACACACACACACCACACACACACCACACACACACACACACACACATATACACACACACATGCACAAATGTATGTTATTGCCTTATCACTCATTTTGGCCCTTTGACAATCTTCCTTTTTCTGGGATAAATAAACATG